TTCCTATGCTGGTCAGCTTGGGCTCTGCTAGCAAATGTAACATCAATTGGAAACTGGTAAACCAATGGTCAAATATCACATTCTGATTAGCTTGGGAGATGGGAGCAACAAGTCTGTTCACAACATCATTCATTTTTTTTACCATATGCATAAGGACCTGGTGGCTGAGTTTCAGGACAAATTTCTAAATTGAAAGCATAATAAGTATTTTCATCTACAAGGGTATAAATTTTATGCCCAATTTTTCACAGTTGACTGTAGTTTAAAAATAAAACCTAAGGAGCGATGTTGATTTAGTACTTCTAGTTTTGAGCAAAGGAATTTTCTCTTTTGTAAATATAATTTGCACTTTTTTGTAGTACTGGGAATTGAACCCAGAACTTTTGTGCTGATCTACATCTCCAGCCCTTTTATTTATTTAGTTTTTAACTTTCAGACAGTCTTGCTAAGTCACTAAGTTGTCCAGGTTGGGCTTGACATTTTGATCCTCCTGCCTTGACTTCCCAGAGTGCAAGGATTAAGGTGTGCATCACCGTGTCCAACTATAATTTACACTTTCACTTGGTCTTAGCCAAAAGGCCAAGAATCAATATATAATTTACATTTCCATACAATGATCTTTCTTGAATTTACTATGGCAACCCTGCTGTGAAATCCTATGTACTGTTTTTTTTTTTTTCAGGTAATATGACCACTATACTTTCTTGTCATTTTCCTATACTATTTCTTATGCCTAAGATTTCTATTACTCTCTAAAAAATAAGATGCTTCTTCTGTTCAACTTCCTGCAGTATCTGAGTTTTTCAACATTTTTTTTATCAACCTTTGATTTAGCACTTAGTTTGTACCAGTCCTTGTGTGAAGTCAAGTACATATATAATGTCCTTGGAGAGCCTCAGGAAGTTCAGAGATTGGACTATCTTGTTTTAGAATGAAGAAATTGGATTAAAACATCTTAAAGAGCATTCCTAAAACTACACACTTAATGACTGATAGAGCAAGGATGCAACTCCAAGCCTACCTGACTTCAGAGCTAGTAGTTACCACCACTAAGTGATGCTATCTCATTCACCTGTGTATCTTTAGCTTTACCCAATCACTACCTGAGATCCCATTTAAATCATATTCTATATGTCTTTTACCCTAAGTATTTCATTTTCAAAATTCTTTACTGCTTCTCCTCTCTCATTTTATTACCTGCATTTCTGAACCCTGTGTCAATGGTTTGCTCTTTGCCCTATCTGTAGTTTAAAAATAAGGCTCAGAACTCCAGCAAGATCCATTAAGTGTTCACTCAGGAAGCAAGGCTTCAGTAGCTTTGTGGAGATTCTTCAGAAATAGTAGATTTTCTTAGCTTTTCCCTAGATTAGACTTCCAGGGCTTCCTCAGTAAGAAATGGAGCCTTTGGATGAAGGTGTTTGAAAAGTGGTAGCAAGCATGGCCACACACACATAGGATTCTTTGAATCTTCAGGGATTTTCCCTCTTTGCTTATATTTCTGATTATCAAAAGCCATTTGGCTAGATTGTAACTCTAGGACATAGATGGTCTGGGGACAATCTCATGAAAGCTTTTCTGGACTTAATGCCAGTTTGTGTATAATCCAGTGCAGGCACTGTGTGCACCAAAGATGAATCATGAAGCCTGGAATAGCCAGCAAAACACCCGAATTCTCTTGTGTACTCTTATAAACAGCTAAGTGGAACACAAGCAATTCTCTTCCATTCCCTGTGATTCAGAGTGCTCTTTTCAAAAAGGAGGTAAATTTTTACAGTTCAATGATTTCACATTATGATGCAATCCAAAATCTAGTAGAGACTAGCATTCTACTATCTCTGCTGATGGCTTATAAGTTGTTATCTCTAAAGAGTATGTCCATATAACTATATCTATAATCCACTAATTGCGACATTTGCAGTCATGGATGGGATGCTGTATGCATGGACTTAGACCACCCACTGTCTGACTCATGGGGCAGCTTTTATTTGCCTGTTGCAGACACATTCCTACAGCCAGCATGGCCTTTGGCCAAGAAGGCACTGACTGGTGCCTGCTTTACATAAAATTCTTGCCTTTTTGATGAGGAGTTTGCTCTATTTTTGCCATTGAATTACTGATGAGTGAGGGGAAGGAACAGTATGTGACTGAAAGCTGCAGGAGACTATCCTCTAACACAAGCTCCTTCCTTCCCTCTGCCAGGAAGACCTCTGTAAAGGCACTGATGGACCATCCAAGATTCACCTCTACTGACATGAGACAGTAAGCTGGACAAAAATGGAAATTCACAGTGACTTCCTCTGTCCACTTCTGCTCCTGGAGGCAAATAGCAAATTGAACTTGGGCAGAGAGAGGAAAGAGAGAAATGAATGGGAATAAAGAGGATGATTTCTTCATTCCTATCCCTCCATTCCTACTTAGTTTCAGCCACTACCATAGCAACCAGTAACATGTGTTTCCAGGTAACCCAACAGATCATGGGAATGCCACCTTTGGACTATCTTTTGCGGGCTCTTTGGAAATGTTCCCACAGAGTCATACTATTTTTTCCAACAAAATCTTTCTCCTTCCTAATTCAATTCTCCTTTCAGTTTGGAACCAGGGACAATAACTTTTTTTTTCTTTTTGGAAATTGAATCATTTGCAAAGCACTGGATTGAGTGTAGTTTAAAACCTCAGGTTGAAGTTCTGGGAATTCTGAGCCAAGTCCTTTCCATTTCCCTTATGCTCACAGGAAGTTTGAATTGATGTCATTAGAAATTTGAGTGTGTGTGTGTGTGTGTATGTGTGTGAATCCTGAAAGGAAGGAAATTACTTCACATCCTATATATTGATTTTATCATTCTTTATGCCAAGCTAATATTTGCAACTATATAATTCTGATGAGCCAGGCAGTAATTCCTATCTTTTTGTTTGTGTTCACTACTTTGAAAAGACTGGCCCCTACATGGGGGACATCAATAAGTTTCTGTTTGACTCAGTGTTTCCAAAGCATAGACCTTTCCAATATTCTCTTACACTTTCAAGATGCATAGTTAGATCATCAGAATTGATACTTGATATCAACTCAGGAAAATGATTTATGTCTCACAATTTTTACTTTAATTTTTAAGAAAATTGATCAGAGCTCCTCATTTGAGAGAGGAAAACTACTTTTGCATATGACAAAAATATTTCCAGTTGTGTAAAAGTATATAGAAAGGTAAAACTAAACCCTGTACAGTGAACACAGTTCCACAAAGATTCACTGAATTTCTGGTAGAGGAGAATCATGTCAGCAGTACATGTGTGTGTGGTTTGGCTAAACTCCACAGGCACCCTGCAACCAGATAGCATGCCACCCTTCATTTCATTTCCTTTCATTTAACCGAGTTCACAATTCATTTTGCTTCATTTCACTTAAACTCTAGTATTTAACAACAATATGTAACAGTTTATATTTGGCTAACTTTTCCTAAGATCTCTTCTATCACCTGTCTTTGTCTTCTTTCAATGAAGGAATGCAAAGTGATATGAGTTCCAGCAAGTTAATACATTCATATACCCTCATTCTCTTCTTTTTCCCCTTACTTATCTGTCTGTCTTTGTAAAAATCTGTTTTCTTTTGAGCTGTTTTCTGTATTCTCCATGCAATGTCTGGGAGATTCCCAAATTACTTTCCTGTTCTCATCCAGACAAGATACAGAATAATTTCAATACTGTAAGTCTCATCACTTTCCACCCTTTGAAGTGCATATGTCATATAGGACTGACCCTCTAAATTTATTGATTGCTCTTGTTGGATGAAAAAAATCTAATTTGACTCTATCAGCCCCTTTGGTTACCACAGACCTCTCACTCCCAGTGGCATTTTCAGTTTCCAAAGTTTTGCTTACTATTCCCCATCATCACAACAAACAAACAAAAAGAAACCCACAAAATTACAAAAGCTCTAAGCAACTTTTCAGGCCTAAACTAGTCACGAAACCCAGCAATTGTGTACAAAACAGATCTTTTCCAAGAGAGAACTGAACCAAGAGATGGAAGGAAGGGTGTGGAAGATGAAAACAGAATTAAGATGTGTCATGTACATTTACCAGCTGCCCATGAGGAATGTAATCATTATGTAGTGGACGTATGTACTAAGAAAAATGCAAAATAAAGATAAAAAATGAGAATATCATTCTTAGCTTACTAGGAAACATTTGGAAACAAAAAGTTGATTGTCATTTACATTATGAAAATCAATTAGTAATTACATGGCAAATACATTGTTCTGGAGGATTCCACATTAAATGGGAATATAAAATACAGCTTTCCGTAATCAAACCAACACAGTCATGTAAAATTGTTCATATTCTCTTTATTCCATAATATGAGCTACTTATTTTTGTGGTTTTTGGCTATGGCTTTATACAACTAATTACTAATTTCACAGGGCCTATTTACTCTTCTAACCCTTTCTCCAAATATTTCCCTGGTCCAAATTAAGGCAATTATTTTATTTGAAAAAGTTGCTCTAGTATCTTGTCTCTCTGGTCTCATTGTGATTATAAGCTATTTATCAAAAATCATATGCTACTGACTTCATGCTGAGTTACATATATCTAATTTTTTTTTGCCTTAAAGTACTCAAAATTTGTTATTTTCCACAAACTTCTTTTCATGACACAATTTTTTAATCTCTACCCTTAATACACTTTATGGTTTTTTCCATACCCATTTTCCTTACAAATTTTTTTGTTTCAAAACAGCTTCATTTATAGAACAGAATTGCAAAGATAATAGAGAGTTTCTCTACTGACACAGCCAGTTTTCGATATCTTACATTAGTATGCTACAGCAGTTATAATGAAAAATGATACTTTTTTTTTTTTTAGTGCAGGGATCAAACTTGGGACTTTACACTTATGAGGCAGGTGGCAGAACCACTGAGCTAAATCCCCGGCCCTAATGATACATTATTAACTAAAGTCTGTACACTGTTTCCTTGGTTCTTACAGAATGCCCTTTTTTTGTTCCAGGATCACATCAGAATACCACATTACCCATAATTATATTATCTTCATGGATTCTTCTGGTCTGTGACAGATTGACTTTCCTTGTTTTTAATGATCTTGAGAGTTCTGAGGAGTAATGATCAGGTATTTTGTAGAATTTTCCTCTATTAGCATTTATGTGATGTTTTTCTTATAAACGAATAGTGATTATATGGTTTTAGAAGGAATATCACAGAGGTAAAGTGGTATTCTGGTCACATCAAAGTACACATGAACATGACTTATCACTGTAGAATGTTGATCTTGATCATTTGGCTTAGGATTTCTTCTTTGGAAAGGTACTCTTTGTTCCTCCATTGCCTACTGTACTCATTTTAAAGAAGTCACTGTCCAGAGTTCAAACTTAAGAAATGCAGAATTTATACTACACTTACACAGCATCTATGCTAATTGTGTGGACTTCATTTTGTGATTTTTCAATATTTTGAGCTCTATGTTCTGGAGATTAATTCCTTGATAGATGAATAGTTAGCAAATATTTTCTCCCACTCTCTAGGTTGTCTTTTAATTCTGCTGATTATTTCTTTTGCAGTGCAGAAATGTCTTAGTTTGATGTAGTCACATTTGTCTACTTTTTTATTATTGGTAGTATGGGGTTCTATCTAAAAAAAATCATTCATTATGCCAATATTGTGAAGTGTTTCTCCTGTTTTCCATACAAGTCAGTTAAATGCTTAGAGTCCATGGCAATGCTCTCCACTAGTCCAGCCAGTGGCCTAGAGCCCCTAGGAGTGCCTCATGCTTCTCCATATTGAGGATCTGCACTTGGAAGGCCCAAAGGCCAGTGGTGGAAGCCAGAAAACCTACACCGGTGAGATGAAGGATTTGTGCCACCAAGCTAAGGGATCCACATTGGAGCCAGCCTGAGGAAAACAGCAGCCATTCCCAGCGACAGTAAAGCCCCAAGCTCCTTCTCCAAGGAGAACAGCCTAGTTTGCATCAGGAAAACCATCTGCAGAAAGCTTCTCCTAGAAAATCAACAGGCCACGATCTTCTTCCTCAAGTTCTCTTTTCATGGTCATTGGCAAAAATCCTCAGGTGGATCCTCCTTGCCCAGACCATGCTGATTCAGTTCAGCTGGGTGATACAAGTAGACCATTAGTCAATCTACCACAGTAACTTTATCAAAAAACTTAGAAGTGAAACACATTGAGTCGTCTCTAGATGTTTCCATGTATAGAATCATGTCATCTGCAAACATGAATCATTTACTTTCATTTCCAACTGGATGCCCTTTCTTTCTCTTCCCAAGATTTTCAGTACCATATTAAGTAAAGAATGATGAAATCAGGTATTCTAGTCGTATTCTCAATCTTATAGCAAATACTTTCAGCTTTTCACTGTTTAGTATGTTATTGGCTGTGAATTTTTCATAGCCTGTAATATTTTGAAATATGTTGCTTCTGTACTTAATTTTTTGTAAAGTTTTATCATCAAGCAGTGTTGAACACTATCAAATGCTTTTTCTGCATATATTGCAGTGATAATTTTTTTCTTCATTCTGTTTATATGTTAAATCATCCTTGGCTTCTTGGGATGAATATCATTTGATTAATGTTTGTAATCTTTTTGATGTTCTGTTAATTCAATTTGAGTGTATTTTATTGAGAATGTTTGCATCTGTGTTCATCAGGGGATCTATCATTTCCTTTTTGTTGTATCTTTGGTTTATTATATCAGGGTAATGCTGGTCTCATAAAAAAGATTAGCAGAGTACTTTAGTTTTAATTTTTTGGAATAGTTTAAGAAAAATTGGAATTATTTCTTTAATATCTTCTAGAATTTAGTAATAAAGGTCCTGGATTTTAGATGAGAGATTTTTAATTACTTTAGATGAGAGATTTTTAATTTAATAATTTAAGTTTTGAAAATCTCACTCATTATTGGTCTGTTCAAATTTTTTATTTCTTCTTGATTTAATTTTGATAAGTTTTTATGTGTTTAGAAATTTACATATTTCTAGTGGTGTTCCACAATTTTAACATATAATCCTTCATTGTAGTTTCTATGTAATTTTACCTTTTTATCTGATTTTATATACAGACATCCCTCATTTAATGACTTTTATTCATATGATAAAGTCATCAAAAAATTGGTCACAAAATGAGGAATTGTATAAAGTATGCATATTACAATATTCAGAACAAAGAAATGGCCAAAGGCAACTCCAATTTGATGACAACTTTTATTTGCATAAATCTTACATTCAATACTGTACTGTACAATAGAACATAAAACTACAGTAGTATATAATACAACCTGCAACAATTACAGCACTGCACAGTTGAAGAAGCCTCTGTAAGGCTGCACCACAGCTCATGTTCCTGCATTGCAAGTCAGAGCACTGTGTTGTAAGTCTGCACAGTCCTGAAACAGGTAGGTCTTTAAATGAGAGATAGCTGTATTTGGACCTTCTCTTTTATTTCTTGGTTACTCTAGCTAAATATTTGTCAATTTTGATTATCCTTTCGAAAAATAAACTCTTGATTTAATTGATCTTTTATATCACTTTATTAATTTCCATTTTTATTTATTTTTGCTCTGATCTTTATTATTCCTTTCTTTTTACTAAATTGGTGTTTTGTTTGTTCTTCCTAAGTCCTTAATGTGCATTGTTATTTCTCTTTATTAATATATTGCTATAAACATCCCTCTCAGTAATGCTTTTGCTCTATATCACCAATTTTTCTTTTCATTTTTTTGTATTAAATTCTTTTATTGGTACATTGTAGGTATACAACACAATTACATTTCTCATTGGGAATTGTACCTTTACATAATG